GAAGTAGTCACTACCAGGAGTCTAGGAGTAATCTCTACCAGGAGTCTAGGAGTAGTCTTCTACCAGGAGTCTAGGAGTAGTAGAGTCTAGGAGTAGTCTCTACCAGGAGTCTAGGAGTAGTCTCTACCGGGAGTCTAGGAGTAGTCTCTACCAGGAGTCTAGGAGTAGTCTCTACCGGGAGTCTAGGAGTAGTCTCTACCAGGCATCTAGGAGTAGTCTATACCAGAAGTCCAGGAGCAGTCTCTACCAGGAGTCTAGGAGTAGTCTTCTACCAGGAGTCTAGGAGTAGTCTCTACCAGGAGTCTAGGAGTAGTCTTCCACCAGGAGTCTAGGAGTAGTCTTCTACCAGGAGTCTAGGAGTAGTCTCTACCAAGAGTCTAGGAGTAGTCTCAACCGGGAGTCTAGGAGTAGTCTCTACCAGGAGTCTAGGAGTAGTCTCTACCGGGAGTTTAGGAGTAGTCTTCTACCAGGAGTCTAGGAGTAGTCTTCTACCAGGAGTCTAGGAGTAGTCTTCTACCAGGAGTCTAGGAGTAGTCTCTACCAGGAGTCTAGGAGTAGTCTCTACCGGGAGTCTAGGAGTAGTCTCTACCAGGAGTCTAGGAGTAGTCTCTACCGGGAGTTTAGGAGTAGTCACAACCAGGAGTCTAGGAGTAGTCTTCTAGCAGGAGTCTAGGAGTAGTCTCTACCAGGTGTCTAGGAGTAGTCTCTACCAGGAGACTAGGAGTAGTCTTCTAGCAGGAGTCTAGGAGTAGTCTTCTACCAGGAGTCTAGGAGTAGTCTCTACCAGGAGTCTAGGAGTAGTCTTCCACCAGGAGTCTAGGAGTAGTCTTCTACCAGGAGTCTAGAAGTAGTCTCTACCAGGAGTCTAGGAGTAGTCTTCCACCAGGAGACTAGGAGTAGTCTCTACCAGGTGTCTAGGAGTAGTCTCTACCAGGAGACTAGGAGTAGTCTTCTAGCAGGAGTCTAGGAGTAGTCTGCACCAGGAGTCTAGGAGTAGTCTCTACTAGGAGTCTAGGAGTAGTCTCTACCAGGAGTCTAGGAGTAGTCACTACCAGGAGTCTAGGAGTAGTCTTCTACCAGGAGTCTAGGAGTAGTCTTCTAGCAGGAGTCTAGGAGTAGTCTCTACCAGGAGACTAGGAGTAGTCTTCTAGCAGGAGTCTAGGAGTAGTCTCTACCAGGAGTCTAGGAGTAGTCTCTACCAGGAGTCTAGGAGTAGTCTCTACCAGGAGTCTAGGAGTAGTCTCTACCAGGAGTCTAGGAGTAGTCTCTACCGGGAGTCTAGGAGTAGTCTCTACCAGGAGTCGAGGAGTAGTCTCTACCGGGAGTCTAGGAGTAGTCTCTACCAGGCATCTAGGAGTAGTCTATACCAGAAGTCCAGGAGCAGTCTCTACCAGGAGTCTAGGAGTAGTCTTCTACCAGGAGTGTAGGAGTAGTCTCTACCAGGAGTCTAGGAGTAGTCTTCCACCAGGAGTCTAGGAGTAGTCTTCTACCAGGAGTCTAGGAGTAGTCTCTACCAGGAGTCTAGGAGTAGTCTCTACCGGGAGTCTAGGAGTAGTCTCTACCAGGAGTCTAGGAGTAGTCTCTACCGGGAGTTTAGGAGTAGTCTTCTACCAGGAGTCTAGGAGTAGTCTTCTACCAGGAGTCTAGGAGTAGTCTTCTACCAGGAGTCTAGGAGTAGTCTCTACCAGGAGTCTAGGAGTAGTCTCTACCGGGAGTCTAGGAGTAGTCTCTACCAGGAGTCTAGGAGTAGTCTCTACCGGGAGTTTAGGAGTAGTCACTACCAGGAGTCTAGGAGTAGTCTTCTAGCAGGAGTCTAGGAGTAGTCTCTACCAGGTGTCTAGGAGTAGTCTCTACCAGGAGACTAGGAGTAGTCTTCTAGCAGGAGTCTAGGAGTAGTCTTCTACCAGGAGTCTAGGAGTAGTCTCTACCAGGAGTCTAGGAGTAGTCTTCCACCAGGAGTCTAGGAGTAGTCTTCTACCAGGAGTCTAGGAGTAGTCTCTACCAGGAGTCTAGGAGTAGTCTTCCACCAGGAGACTAGGAGTAGTCTCTACCAGGTGTCTAGGAGTAGTCTCTACCAGGAGACTAGGAGTAGTCTTCTAGCAGGAGTCTAGGAGTAGTCTCCACCAGGAGTCTAGGAGTAGTCTCTACTAGGAGTCTAGGAGTAGTCTCCACCAGGAGTCTAGGAGTAGTCTCTACTAGGAGTCTAGGAGTAGTCTCTACCGGGAGTCTAGGAGTAGTCTCTACTAGGAGTCTAGGAGTAGTCTCCACCAGGAGTCTAGGAGTAGTCTCTACTAGGAGTCTAGGAGTAGTCTCTACCAGGAGTCTAGGAGTAGTCACTACCAGGAGTCTAGGAGTAGTCTTCTACCAGGAGTCTAGGAGTAGTCTTCTAGCAGGAGTCTAGGAGTAGTCTCTACCAGGAGACTAGGAGTAGTCTTCTAGCAGGAGTCTAGGATTAGTCTTCTACTAGGAGTCGAGGAGTAGTCTCTACCGGGAGTCTAGGAGTAGTCTCTACCAGGAGACTAGGAGTAGTCTTCTAGCAGGAGTCTAGGAGTAGTCTCTACCAGGAGTCTAGGAGTAGTCTCTACCAGGAGTCTAGGAGTAGTCACTACCAGGAGTCTAGGAGTAGTCTTCTACCAGGAGTCTAGGAGTAGTATTCTAGCAGGAGTCTAGGAGTAGTCTCTACCAGGAGACTAGGAGTAGTCTTCTAGCAGGAGTCTAGGATTAGTCTTCTACTAGGAGTCGAGGAGTAGTCTCTACCGGGAGTCTAGGAGTAGTCTCTACCAGGAGACTAGGAGTAGTCTTCTAGCAGGAGTCTAGGAGTAGTCTCTACCGGGAGTCTAGGAGTAGTCTCTACCAGGCATCTAGTAGTCTATACCAGAAGTCCAGGAGCAGTCTCTACCAGGAGTCTAGGAGTAGTTTCTACCAGGAGTCTAGGAGTAGTCTCTACCAGGAGTCTAGGAGTAGTCTTCTAGCAGGAGTCTAGGGGTAGTCTTCTAGCAGGAGTCTAGGAGTAGTCTCTACCAGGAGACTAGGAGTAGTCTTCTAGCAGGAGTCTAGGATTAGTCTTCTACTAGGAGTCGAGGAGTAGTCTCTACCGGGAGTCTAGGAGTAGTCTCTACCAGGAGACTAGGAGTAGTCTTCTAGCAGGAGTCTAGGAGTAGTCTCTACCAGGAGTCTAGGAGTAGTCTCTACCAGAAGTCTAGGAGTAGTCTCTACCGGGAGTCTAGGAGTAGTCTCTACTAGGAGTCTAGGAGTAGTCTATACCGGGAGTCTAGGAGTAGTCTCTACCAGGCATCTAGGAGTAGTCTATACCAGAAGTCCAGGAGCAGTCTCTACCAGGAGTCTAGGAGTAGTCTCTATCAGGAGCCTAGGAGTAGTCTCTACCAGGAGTCTAGGAGTAGTCTTCTACCAGGAGTCTAGGAGGAGTCTCTACCAGGAGTCTAGGAGTAGCCTCTACCAGGAGTCTAGGAGTAGTCTCTACCAGGAGTCTAGGAGTAGTCTTCTACCAGGAGTCTAGGAGTAGTCTCTATCAGGAGTCTAGGAGTAGTCACTACCAGGAGTCTAGGAGTAATCTCTACCAGGAGTCTAGGAGTAGTCTCTACCGGGGGTCTAGGAGTAGTCTTCCACCAGGAGTCTAGGAGTAGTCTCTATCAGGAGTCTAGGAGTAGTCACTACCACGAGTCTAGGAGTAGTCTTCCACCAGGAGTCTAGGAGTAGTCTCTATCAGGAGTCTAGGAGTAGTCTCTATCAGGAGTCTAGGAGTAGTCTCTACCGGGGGTCTAGGAGTAGTCTTCCACCAGGAGTCTAGGAGTAGTCTCTATCAGGAGTCTAGAAGTAGTCACTACCAGGAGTCTAGGAGTAATCTCTACCAGGAGTCTAGGAGTAGTCTTCTACCAGGAGTCTAGGAGTAGTCTCTACCAGGAGTCTAGGAGTAGTCTCTACCAGGAGTCTAGGAGTAGTCTCTACCGGGAGTCTAGGAGTAGTCTCTACCAGGAGTCTAGGAGTAGTCTCTACCGGGAGTCTAGGAGTAGTCTCTACCAGGCATCTAGGAGTAGTCTATACCAGAAGTCCAGGAGCAGTCTCTACCAGGAGTCTAGGAGTAGTCTTCTACCAGGAGTCTAGGAGTAGTCTCTACCAGGAGTCTAGGAGTAGTCTTCCACCAGGAGTCTAGGAGTAGTCTCTATCAGGAGTCTAGAAGTAGTCACTACCAGGAGTCTAGGAGTAATCTCTACCAGGAGTCTAGGAGTAGTCTTCTACCAGGAGTCTAGTAGTAGTCTCTACCAGGAGTCTAGGAGTAGTCTCTACCGGGAGTCTAGGAGTAGTCTCTACCAGGCATCTAGGAGTAGTCTATACCAGAAGTCCAGGAGCAGTCTCTACCAGGAGTCTAGGAGTAGTCTTCTACCAGGAGTCTAGGAGTAGTCTCTACCAGGAGTCTAGGAGTAGTCTTCCACCAGGAGTCTAGGAGTAGTCTCTATCAGGAGTCTAGAAGTAGTCACTACCAGGAGTCTAGGAGTAGTCTCTACCGGGAGTCTAGGAGTAGTCTCTACCAGGCATCTAGGAGTAGTCTATACCAGAAGTCCAGGAGCAGTCTCTACCAGGAGTCTAGGAGTAGTCTTCTACCAGGAGTCTAGGAGTAGTCTCTACCAGGAGTCTAGGAGTAGTCTTCCACCAGGAGTCTAGGAGTAGTCTCTATCAGGAGTCTAGAAGTAGTCACTACCAGGAGTCTAGGAGTAATCTCTACCAGGAGTCTAGGAGTAGTCTTCTACCAGGAGTCTAGGAGTAGTCTTCTACCGGGAGTCTAGGAGTAGTCACTACCAGGAGTCTAGGAGTAGTCTTCCACCAGGAGTCTAGGAGTAGTCTTCTACCAGGAGTCTAGGAGTAGTCTTCTACCAGGAGTCTAGGAGTAGTCTTCTACCAGGAGTCTAGGAGTAGTCTTCTACCAGGAGTCTAGGAGTAGTCTCTACCAGGAGTCCAGGAGCAGTCTCTCCCAGGAGGCCCACCTTGACGTAGTCGGCGTGTCCTGGGCAGTCCGTGTGCGCGTAGTGGCGTGCCGCCGTGGAGTACTCCACGTGCGACGCGTTGATGGTGATGCCCCGGGCCTTCTCCTCCGGCGCGTTGTCAATCTCCTCATACTTCTTGAAGCGCGCCGCTCCCGCCTCCGCCAGCACTGCATGGGTAGAGGAGGGGGAAGGGCATGAGTAGAGTGGTGTGCGTGGGTAGCAGTGAGCCTATGGGTCTCTGTGTGGTGAGTCTTTGGGTCTCTGTGCGGTGAGTTCATGGGTCTCTGAGTGGTAAGTCTGGGGCTATCTGTGTGGTGAGTCGGTGGGTCTCTATGTGGTGGGTGTGTGGGTCTCTGTGTGGTGAGTCTGTGGGTCTCTGTGTGGTGAGTCTGTGTGTCTCTGTGTGGTGAGTCTGTGGGTCTCTGTGTGGTGAGTCTGTGGGTCTCTGTGTGGTGAGTCTGGGGCTATCTGTGTGATGAGTCTGTGGGTCTCTATGTGGTGGGTGTGTGGGTCTCTGTGTGGTGAGTCTGTGGGTCTCTGTGTGGTGAGTCTGTGTGTCTCTGTGTGGTGAGTCTGTGGGTCTCTGTGTGGTGAGTCTGGGGCTATCTGTGTGATGAGTCTGTGGGTCTCTATGTGGTGGGTGTGTGGGTCTCTGTGTGGTGAGTCTGTGTGTCTCTGTGTGGTGAGTCTGTGGGTCTCTATGTGGTGAGTCTGTGGGTCTCTGTGTGGTGAGTCTGTGGGTCTCTGTTTGGTGAGTCTGTGGGTCTCTGTGTGGTGAGTCTATGTGTCTCTGTGTGGTGAGTTTATGGGTCTCTGAGTGGTAAGTCTTTGGGTCTCTGTGTGGTGAGTTCATGGGTCTCTGAGTGGTAAGTCTGGGGCTATCTGTGTGGTGGGTGTGTGGGTCTCTGTGTGGTGAGTCTGTGTGTCTCTGTGTGGTGAGTTTATGGGTCTCTGAGTGGTAAGTCTGGGGCTATCTGTGTGGTGAGTCTGTGGATCTCTATGTGGTGAGTCTGTGGGTCTCTGTGTGGTGAGTCTGTGTCTCTGTGTGGTGAGTCTTTGGGTCTCTGTGTGGTGAGTTCATGGGTCTCTGAGTGGTAAGTCTGGGGCTATCTGTGTGGTGAGCCTGTGGGTCTCTATGTGGTGAGTCTGTGTGTCTCTGTGTGGTGAGTCTTTGGGTCTCTGTGTGGTGAGTTCATGGGTCTCTGAGTGGTAAGTCTGTGGGTCTCTGTGTGGTGAGTCTGGGGCTATCTGTGTGATGAGTCTGTGGGTCTCTATGTGGTGAGTCTGTGGGTCTCTGTGTGGTGAGTTCATGGGTCTCTGAGTGGTAAGTCTGTGGGTCTCTGAGTGGTAAGTCTAGGGCTATCTGTGTGGTGAGTCTGTGGGTCTCTATGTGGTGAGTCTGTGGGTCTCTGTGTGGTGAGTCTGTGTCTCTGTGTGGTGAGTCTTTGGGTCTCTGTGTGGTGAGTTCATGGGTCTCTGAGTGGTAAGTCTGGGGCTATCTGTGTGGTGAGCCTGTGGGTCTCTATGTGGTGAGTCTGTGTGTCTCTGTGTGGTGAGTCTTTGGGTCTCTGTGTGGTGAGTTCATGGGTCTCTGAGTGGTAAGTCTGTGGGTCTCTGTGTGGTGAGTCTGGGGCTATCTGTGTGATGAGTCTGTGGGTCTCTATGTGGTGGGTGTGTGGGTCTCTGTGTGGTGAGTCTGTGTGTCTCTGTGTGGTGAGTCTTTGGGTCTCTGTGTGGTGAGTTTATGGGTCTCTGAGTGGTAAGTCTGGGGCTATCTGCGTGATGAGTCTGTGGGTCTCTATGTGGTGGGTGTGTGGGTCTCTGTGTGGTGAGTCTATGGGTCTCTGTGTGGTGAGTTCATGGGTCTCTGAGTGGTAAGTCTGTGGGTCTCTGTGTGGTGAGTCTGGGGCTATCTGTGTGATGAGTCTGTGGGTCTCTATGTGGTGGGTCTGTGGGTCTCTGCGTAGTGAGTTTATGGGTCTACTGTGGTGAGTTTATGGATCTCTGAGTGGTAAGTCTGGGACTATCTGTGTGATGAGTCTGTGGGTCTCCATATGGTGGGTCTGTGGGTCTCTGTGTGGTGAATTTATGGGTCTCTGAGTGGTAAGTCTGGGGCTATCTGTGTGGTGAGTCTGTGGGTCTCTATGTGGTGGGTCTGTGGGTCTCTGTGGTAAGTCTATGGGTCTGTGATGAGTCTGTGGGTCTCTGTGTGATGAGTCTATGGGTCTCTGTGGTAAGGCTATGGGTCTGCTGTGGTGGGTTTATGGGTCTCTGTCTGGTGAGTCTGTGGGTCTCTGTGTGATGAGTCTATGGGTCTCTGTATGATTAATTTGTGGGTCTCTGTGTGATGAGTCTATGGGTCTCTGTGGTAAGGCTGTGGGTCTGCTGTGGTGGGTTTATGGGTCTCTGTGTGATGAGTCTATGGGTCTCCTGCGGTGAGGTCCTGGGTCTCTGTGTGATGAGTCTATGGGTCTCTGTATGATGAGTCTATGGGTCTCTGTGTGATGAGTCTGTGGGTCTCTGTGTGAGTGAGTCTATGGGTCTCTGTGTGAGTGAGTCTATGGGTCTCTGTGTGAGTGAGTCTGTGGCTCTCTGTGTGAGTGAGTCTATAGGTCTCTGTGTGAGTGAGTCTATGGGTCTCTGTGTGAGTGAGTCTGTGGGTCTCTGTGTGAGTGAGTCTATGGGTCTCTGTGTGAGTGAGTCTATGGGTCTCTGTGTGAGTGAGTCTGTGGGTCTCTGTGTGAGTGAGTCTGTGGGTCTCTGTGTGAGTGAGTCTGTGGGTCTCTGTGTGAGTGAGTCTGTGGGTCTCTGTGTGAGTGAGTCTATGGGTCTCTGTGTGATGAGTCTATGGCTCTCTGTGTGAGTGAGTCTGTGGGTCTCTCTCTCCGTCCGTGCGGTAAATCTATGGCTCTCCGCGTGGCGAGTCTACACCACTCTGTGTGTGTGTGTGCGGTGAGCCAACGTCTCCCTCTCTCTCTCTCTCTCTCCCCGCTCACCCTTGGTAATGGCCGCGGTGAGCGTGGTCTTGCCGTGGTCCACGTGGCCGATGGTGCCGATGTTGACGTGCGGGCGGTCACGCACGAACGTCCGCTTGGCCTCCGCCGCGTAGCCCCTCAACGGCACCTGGCAGCCAACGGCCACGCCGAGCAGGGCACGCGGGGGCGTCTACAATGGCGCGGGTGGGGGCGGAAACTGTGGTTATAGTCACTCCTAGACTCCTGGGAGAGACTGGGAAAGACAACTCCTGGTAGAGACTACTCCTAGACTCCTGGTAGAGACAACTCCTAGACTCCTGGTAAAGACAACTCCTAGACTCCTGGTAGAGACTACTCCTAGACTCCTGGTAAAGACAACTCCTAGACTCCTGGTAGAGACTACTCCTAGACTCCTGGTAGTGACTACTACTAGACTCCTGGTAGTGACTACTCCTAGACACCTGGTAGAGACGACTCCTAGACTCATGGTAGTGACTACACCTAGACTCCTGGTAGAGACTACTCCTAGACTCCTGGTAGAGACTACTCCTAGACTCCTGGTAGAGACTACTCCTAGACTCCTGGTAGAGACTACTCCTAGACTCCTGGTAGAAGACTACTCCTAGACTCCTGGTAGAGACTACTCCTAGACTCCTGGTAGAGACTACTCCTAGACTCCTGGTAGAGACTACTCCTAGACTCCTGCTAGAGACTACTCCTAGAGTCCTGCTAGAGACTACTCCTAGACTCCTGCTAGAGACTACTCCTAGATGCCTGGTAGAGACTACTCCTAGACTCCTGCTAGAGACTACTCCTAGACTCCTGCTAGAGACTACTCCTAGACTCCTGGTAGAGACTTCTCCTAGACTCCTGCTAGAGACTACTCCTAGACTCCTGCTAGAGACTACTCCTAGACTCCTGGTAGAGACTACTCCTAGACTCCTGGTAGAGACTATTCCTAGACTCCTGGTAGAAGACTACTCCTAGACTCCTGCTAGAGACTACTCCTAGACTCCTGCTAGAGACTACTCCTAGATGCCTGGTAGAGACTACTCCTAGACTCCTGCTAGAGACTACTCCTAGACTCCTGCTAGAGACTACTCCTAGACTCCTGGTAGAGACTTCTCCTAGACTCCTGCTAGAGACTACTCCTAGACTTCTGCTAGAGACTACTCCTAGACTCCTGCTAGAGACTACTCCTAGACTCCTGGTAGAGACTACTCCTAGACTCCTGGTGGAAGACTACTCCTAGACTCCTGGTGGAAGACTACTCCTAGACTCCTGGTAGAGACTACTCCTAGACACCTGGTAGAGACTACTCATAGACTCCTGGTAAAGACTACTCCTAGACTCCTGGTAGACTACTCCTAGACTCCTGATAGAGACTCCTCCTAGACTCCTGGTAGAGGCTACTCCTAGACTCCTGGTAGAGGCTACTCCTAGACTCCTGGTAGAGACTACTCCTAGACTCCTGGTAGAGACTACTCCTAGACTCCTGTTAGTGACTACTCCTAGACTCCTGGTAGAGACTACTCCTAGACTCCTGGTAGAGACTACTCCTAGACTCCTGGTAGAGACTACTCCTAGACTCCTGGTAGAGACTACTCCTAGACTCCTGGTAGAGACTACTCCTAGACTCCTGGTAGAGACTACTCCTAGACTCCTGGTAGAGACTACTCCTAGACTCCTGGTAGAGACTACTCCTAGACTCCTGGTAGACTACTCCTAGACTCCTGGTAGAAGACTACTCCTAGACTCCTGCTAGAGACTACTCCTAGACTCCTGCTAGAGACTACTCCTAGATGCCTGGTAGAGACTACTCCTAGACTCCTGCTAGAGACTACTCCTAGACTCCTGCTAGAGACTACTCCTAGACTCCTGCTAGAGACTACTCCTAGACTCCTGGTAGAGACTTCTCCTAGACTCCTGCTAGAGACTACTCCTAGACTTCTGCTAGAGACTACTCCTAGACTCCTGCTAGAGACTTACTCCTAGACTCCTGGTAGAGACTACTCCTAGACTCCTGGTGGAAGACTACTCCTAGACTCCTGGTAGAGACTACTCCTAGACACCTGGTAGAGACTACTCATAGACTCCTGGTAGAGACTACTCCTAGACTCCTGGTAGACTACTCCTAGACTCCTGATAGAGACTCCTCCTAGACTCCTGGTAGAGGCTACTCCTAGACTCCTGGTAGAGACTACTCCTAGACTCCTGGTAGAGACTACTCCTAGACTCCTGTGAGAGACTCCTTCTAGACTCCTGGTAGAAGACTACTCCTAAACTCCTGGTAGAGACTACTCCTAAACTCCTGGTAGAGACTACTCCTAGACTCCTGGTAGAAGACTACTCCTAGTCTCCTGGTAGAAGACTACTCCTAGACTCCTGGTAGAGACTACTCCTCACCTCCTGGTAGAGACAACTCCTAGACTCCTGGAAGAGACAACTCCTAGACTCCTGGGAGAGACTGGGAGAGACTACTCCTAGACTCCTGGTAGAAGACTACTCCTAGACTCCTGGTAGAGACTACTCCTAGACTCCTGGTGGAAGACTACTCCTAGACTTCTGGTAGAAGACTACTCCTAGACTCCTGGTAGCGACTGCTCCTGGACTCCTGGGAGAGACTCCTCCTAGACTCCTGGTGGAGACTACTCCTAGACTCCTGGTAGAGACTACTCCTAGACTCCTGGTAGTGACTACTCCTAGACTCCTGGTAGTGACTACTCCTAGACACCTGGTAGAGACTACTCCTAGACTCATGGTAGTGACTACACCTAGAATCCTGGTAGAGACTACTCCTAGACTCCTGGTAGAGACTACTCCTAGACTCCTGGTAGAGACTACTCCTAGACTCCTGGTAGAGACTACTCCTAGACTCCTGGTAGAAGACTACTCCTAGACTCCTGCTAGAGACTACTCCTAGACTCCTGCTAGAGACTACTCCTAGATGCCTGGTAGAGACTACTCCTAGACTCCTGCTAGAGACTACTCCTAGACTCCTGCTAGAGACTACTCCTAGACTTCTGCTAGAGACTACTCCTAGACTCCTGCTAGAGACTACTCCTAGACTCCTGGTAGAGACTACTCCTAGACTCCTGGTGGAAGACTACTCCTAGACTCCTGGTGGAAGACTACTCCTAGACTCCTGGTAGAGACTACTCCTAGACACCTGGTAGAGACTACTCATAGACTCCTGGTAGAGACTACTCCTAGACTCCTGGTAGACTACTCCTAGACTCCTGATAGAGACTCCTCCTAGACTCCTGGTAGAGGCTACTCCTAGACTCCTGGTAGAGACTACTCCTAGACTCCTGGTAGAGACTACTCCTAGACTCCTGGGAGAGACTCCTTCTAGACTCCTGGTAGAAGACTACTCCTAAACTCCTGGTAGAGATTACTCCTAAACTCCTGGTAGAGACTACTCCTAGACTCCTGGTAGAAGACTACTCCTAGTCTCCTGGTAGAAGACTACTCCTAGACTCCTGGTAGAGACTACTCCTCGCCTCCTGGTAGAGACAACTCCTAGACTCCTGGAAGAGACAACTCCTAGACTCCTGGGAGAGACTGGGAGAGACTACTCCTAGACTCCTGGTAGAAGACTACTCCTAGACTCCTGGTGGAAGACTACTCCTAGACTTCTGGTAGAAGACTACTCCTAGACTCCTGGTAGCGACTGCTCCTGGACTCCTGGGAGAGACTCCTCCTAGACTCCTGGTGGAGACTACTCCTAGACTCCTGGTAGAGACTACTCCTAGACTCCTGGTAGTGACTACTCCTAGACTCCTGGTAGTGACTACTCCTAGACACCTGGTAGAGACTACTCCTAGACTCATGGTAGTGACTACACCTAGAATCCTGGTAGAGACTACTCCTAGACTCCTGGTAGAGACTACTCCTAGACTCCTGGTAGAGACTACTCCTAGACTCCTGGTAGAAGACTACTCCTAGACTCCTGCTAGAGACTACTCCTAGACTCCTGCTAGAGACTACTCCTAGATGCCTGGTTGAGACTACTCCTAGACTCCTGCTAGAGACTACTCCTAGACTCCTGCTAGAGACTACTCCTAGACTTCTGCTAGAGACTACTCCTAGACTCCTGCTAGAGACTACTCCTAGACTCCTGGTAGAGACTACTCCTAGACTCCTGGTGGAAGACTACTCCTAGACTCCTGGTGGAAGACTACTCCTAGACTCCTGGTAGAGACTACTCCTAGACACCTGGTAGAGACTACTCCTAGACTCCTGGTAGAGACTACTCCTAGACTCCTGGTAGAGACTACTCCTAGACTCCTGATAGAGACTCCTCCTAGACTCCTGGTAGAGGCTACTCCTAGACTCCTGGTAGAGACTACTCCTAGACTCCTGGTAGAGACTACTCCTAGACTCCTGGTAGAGACTACTCCTAGACTCCTGGGAGAGACTCCTTCTAGACTCCTGGTAGAAGACTACTCCTAAACTCCTGGTAGAGACTACTCCTAAACTCCTGGTAGAGACTACTCCTAGACTCCTGGTAGAGAATACTCCTAGACTCCTGGTAGAAGACTACTCCTCGACTCCTGGTAGAGACAACTCCTAGACTCCTGGAAGAGACAACTCCTAGACTCCTGGGAGAGACTGGGAGAGACTACTCCTAGACTCCTGGTAGAGACTACTCCTAGACTCCTGGTGGAAGACTACTCCTAGACTTCTGGTAGAAGACTACTCCTAGACTCCTGGTAGAGACTGCTCCTGGACTCCTGGTAGTGACTACTCCTAGACTCCTGGTAGAAGACTACTCCTAGTCTCCTGGTAGACACTCCTAGACTCCTGGTAGAGACTACTCCTAGACTCCTGGTAGAGACTACCCCTAGACACCTGGTAGAGACTACTCCTAGACTCCTGGGAGAGACTCCTCCTAGACTCGTGGTAGAAGACTACTCCTAGACTCCTGGTGGAAGACTACTCCTAGACTCCTGGTGGAAGACTACTCCTAAACTCCTGGTAGAAGACTACTCCTAGACTCCTGGTAGAGACTACTCCTAGACACCTGGTAGAGGCTACTCCTAGACTCCTGGTAGAGGCTACTCCTAGACTCCTGGTAGTGACTACTCCTAGACTCCTGGTAGAGACTACTCCTAGACTTCTGGGAGAGACTACTCCTAGACTCGTGGTAGAAGACTACTCCTAGACTCCTGGTAGAGACTACTCCTAGACTCCTGGTAGAAGACTACTCCTAGACTCCTGGTAGAAGACTACTCCTAGACTCCTGGTAGAGACTACTCCTAGACTCCTGGTAGAAGACTACTCCTAGACTCCTGGTAGAAGACTACTCCTAGACTCCTGGTAGAGACTACTCCTAGACTCCTGGCAGAGACTACTCCTAGACTCCCGGTAGAGACTACTCCTAGAATCCTGGTAGTGACTACACCTAGACTCCTGGTAGAGACTACTCCTAGACTTCTGGGAGAGACTACTCCTAGACTCCTGGTAGAAGACTACTCCTAGACTCCTGGTAGAGACTACTCCTAGACTCCTGGTAGAGACTACTCCTAGTAGAGACTACTCCTAGACTCCTGGTAGAGACTACTCCTAGACTCCTGCTAGAGACTACTCCTAGACTCCTGCTAGAGACTACTCCTAGACTCCTGGTAGAGACTACTCCTAGACTCCTGGTAGAGACTACTCCTAGACTCCTGGTAGAGACTACTCCTAGTCTCCTGGTAGAAACTACTCCTAGACTCCTGGTAGAAGACTACTCCTAGACACACGGGACAGGATCTTGCTACCACGAGATCCGCTCAGCATTAACAACATTGGCTGTGTGTGTGTGGCGGAGGGTAAGGCTGCTTACCGTAGAGGTGGACTTTATGAGAAGCCTCCTAACGCAGTGATGCACATCTGTAACAAAGACAAAGATTCCCGTGTAGCCTTAAAATACTATGCAGGCAAGTAGCAGCGGCACTGATCCTGGTTGAATTCAACAGGAACTCATGCACCCACTCAACCATCCACCCACCCACCCAATCAATCAATCACCCACCCATTTAATCATCCACTCTCACCCACCTACTCATCCACTCACTCAACCACTCACCCACCTACTCACTCACCAATCCACTCATCCATCCAACCACTGTCTCACTCACCCACCCACCCAACCACCTAACCACTCACTCACCCACCCACTCCCTCTCACTCACCCACCCACTCACACATCCACCCCATCACCCACTCACCCCCACTCACCTACCCACTCTTTCACTCATCCATCCACCCACTGACCCACCTACTCTCTCACTCATTCACCCACTCTCTCACTCATCCACCCACGCACTCTTTCACTCAACCATCCACCCACTCACCCACCCACTCTTTCACTCATCCACCCACTCACCCACCCAGTCTCTCACTCATCCACCCACTCACCCACCCACTCTCTCACTCATCCACCCACTCTCTCACTAATCCACCCACCCACTCTCTCACTCATCCACGCACCCACTCACCCACTCAATCACTCACTCACGGCGCACTGTGTACAGCTGCCACTGGGGGAGCCCCTAGGCCATAGACCACACAGCAAAAGTCCCCCTGCAAACATAACACAGGTCCCATGTGTTTCAACTTTCAGTGTCTCATCAGCAGCAGCAGCAGCCAGGCTCTGCTTGACCCGTTGGTTTATGTAAAGATTGTGAGTTTAAATGTAGGGGCACCGTGATGGTGATGATGCCCACGTTGATATCCCCTCCCCACACCAGCCACACTCCACTGCAGTGACAAACCACGTAACAAGGATCCATCTCTGGGTGTAGCGCAGAGAGAGAGGAGAGTGGGGAGAGTGGGGAGTGGGGAGAGAGTGGGGAGAGAGAGTAGGGAGAGAGTGGGGGGAGAGTGGGGAGAGAGGGGAGAGAGTGGGGAGAGAGTGGAGAGAGAGTGGGGAGAGAGTGGGGAGAGAGTGGAGAGAGAGTGGGGAGAGAGTGGGGAGAGAGTGGGGGGAGAGTGGGGAGAGAGAGTGGGGAGAGAGTGGGGAGAGAGAGTAGGGAGAG